ATTGTTTAATTATTGTGATTGTGTCAATGCACATATTTTTGAATAGACATAGATACAAAAGTTCTCTTCATTATTTCTTGAGTAAATGAAATAAATTGAGTTTGTACATTATTATTATTATTACAATTTAAAACTTATATGAGTTATAAATATGTATAATACAATATATCACAAGGTAGAGAGTGGATTTCATCATCAAACAAAACAAACTATTTCTCTTAAAAAGCATTACACCTATTGAGATGCATACATTTTTTCTGTAAATTCTTTCACAGACATTTGTAAATAATTATGTTGTCTTATAAACCAATGTATTATTTGCTCAATATCCCCAATGGTCCATTTGTTCTCTGAACATTTACAACAGGAGTACCGGGGGCGGAACAATATATGCCTGTCAAATGCTATATAGTGTTGTATACTTTCTTACATAGAAATAAGATCTGCATCAGTGGTTAGCTGACATGCTACCAAAGATGATTCTGACTAAGTTTGAGTTGAGTTCTGCTGAAAATGGATAAAATATACCCAAAAGTGTTATTTCCCTATATAAACTATAGTAAACTTTACCCCCTCCCCTCTCCAAGGAAGAACAGATAGCTCGGGGGTCCTGAAATTTACAATTTAAATAAAGCCCCTGATGGTTTTCCTTCCATGCAGAGAAAATGAATGTAGTACCTCTGAGTCTGGAGGAGAAAATATTGGTTAATTTTCCCTTTGGGGCCCTAGGGTTGGGGTGGGAATTTCAATTTTACAATTTGAAACCATCTTCCTCCTAGGATAATTCTCACCAAGTAACAAGAGGCCCAGAGGGCTGGATCGCTCACCTGAATATTTAAGCAGTCATAGCAAAATATTCTCATTCAATATTATGGTGCACTACAAATATTTCCCTCGCAAACTTTGTTGGCTCCATCTGTTGAAACTACCAGCCAAAACTTATTATAAGATTCTATGCTTTTTGGTTCTTCTTCAGAAGTTTATTCACATATTTTTTCCTGCGACCTTGTAAGTAGGTCAATGTCATTTTCCTTCTCATACTTTGTTAGCTCTATCCCAAAAAGCTACCAGCCAAATCTTATGAATCCATTCCATTTGGTTCTTAAGAACAAATCCTTTAAAATGCTGTTGATCTCTGTCTTTTAAGGTAGGTTGAGGTCATTTTCATTCGCCACCAGCCAAATATTATAATTTTATGCTTCTCGATTATTCAGAAGAAGCCGTTTGATGTTTTTGACATATTTGACATCTGTGACCTTGAAAGAAGGTCAAGGTCATTTTCATTCTCAAACTTTGTCGGGATCTATCTCAGGAAGCCAACAGCCAAATATGAAGATTCTATCCCTTTTAGTTCTTCAGAAGAAGTCGTTTGAAGAGTTTGACATATTTGACCCCTGTGACCTTGAAAGGAGGTCAAGGTAATTTTCATTCTCAAACTTTGTCTGGCTCTATCTCATGAATCCAACAGCCAAATATGAAGGTTCTATACCTTTTTGTTCTTCAGAAGAAGTCGTTTAAAGTGTTTGACATAATTGACAGATGTGACCTCGAAAGTACGTCAAGGTCATTTTCATTCTCAAACTTTGTCCGGCTCCATCCCAAGGAAGCCACCAGCCAAATATGAAGATTCTATACCATTTAGTTCTTCAGAAGTCGTTTGAAGTTTTTGACATATTTGACCCCTGTGACCTATAAAGTAGGTGAAAGTCATTTTCATTCTCAAACTTTGTCAGGCTCCTACCAAGAAGTCGTTAAAAGGAAAAAGTTGACAGACGACGGACGGACGACGGACGGACAACGGACACCGCGCCATGGCATAAGCTCACTAGCCCTCCGGGCAGGTGAGCTAAAAATAATTTCCTACAGAGAGTTGTCAAAATATACCCAAAAGTGTTATTTCCCTATATAAACTATAGTAAACTTTACCCCCTCACCAAGTAACAAGAGTTCCGCGAGACGGTACATGATACGCCCGTCAGATGTAGAATGAGCAGTTTGGCACAAAGGGCCATAAGTGCAAAAAATTTGGAGAGATAAGCGTCAAATCTTATCAAGCTTGTCCGAGCTTTCATGGCAATGAACCTTCCTACCAATTTTGAAATTAATCCATTCAAAATTACTCAAGTTATTGAGCGGAAACTGTTTCGGCAATTCTACAAAGGGCCATTACTCCGGAAATAACTGGCAAATAATTTTGGTTATCAAACTTGTCCGAGCTGTCATGGTAATGAACCTTCCTATTATGTTTGAAATGAATCCATTCAAAATTACTCAAGTTATTGAGTGGAAACTAATGTGTGCCAGCCTGCCCGCCCGCCCGCCCGCCCGCCCTGTGAAACATTATACGTACCGTCTATCGACGGGCGTATACAAATAATTTCCTACAGAAAGTTGTCAAAATATACCCAATAGTGTTATTTCCCTATATAAACTATAGTAAACTTTACCCCTTCCCCAAGGGAGAACGATTAGCTTGGGGGTCCTGAAATTTATAACTTAAGTAAAGCCCCTCATAATCTTTCTTTCCATGCAGTGAAAATGACTGTAGTACCTCGGAGTCTGGAGAAGAAGATTTTTGAAATATTGGTTAATTTTCCTTTTGGGGCCCCGCCCTGGCCCTAGGGGATGGGGTAGGAATCCCAATTTTACAATTTTGTAGCCTCACCTACGAAGGATGATTCTGACCAGGTCGAAAAAATCCATCCACTGGTTCTTGAGAAGAAGTTGAAAATGTAAAAAGTTTACGCACAACGACGGACGGAAAGCAATTAGAATAGGTCACTTGAGCAAAGCTCAGGTGACCTAAAAAAACTTGATATTGTAAGTTAACAAGTAACACATTGTACAGCTGAGGATGAAAATGTTTGGGAAAATGAATGGTGATACATCATTTTCATTTGGGGAGACTGGAACATGTTCAGAATTTTGAATAAGATACACACAATATATTATTTGATAGTCATAAAAAAGCTAGGGAATGTATTAATAAATTGAAAGACAAATTAGAACATGTAGATCCTTCGATACTGTGTTGTCCTGAACTTAGAAGATTAACATGGCAGAGAAAAACACCAATCAGACAGAGTAGGCTAGATTTTTTTTAGTTTCTGAGGATATGTAAGTAAAACCAAAGGATTCTAAAATAATACCAAGCTATAGAACAGACCATTCATGTATTCTTTTAGATGTTAATTTGAACATGCCAGATAGAGGGATCACACATGGCATTCTAGTGTCTTACATAGCATTTTGGTGTCACACATGACATTCTAGTGTTACACATCTGGTGTCACACATGACATTCTAGTGTTACACATGACATTCTAGTGTTACACAGAACATTCTAGTGTCACATAATTATTATGTTCTAGTGTTACATATGACATGCTTGTGTCTTACATAGCATATTGGTGTCACACATGACATTCTAGTGTCTTACATAGCATTTTTTGTGTTACACATGACATTCTAGTGTCACACACAACATTCTAGTGTTACACACAACATTCTAGTGTTACACATGGCATTCTAGTGTTACACATGGCATTCTAGTGTGACACATGGTATTCTGGTGTCACACATGACATTCTAGTTTTACATATGACATTCTTGTGTCACACATGACATTCTAGTGATACACATGAAGTTCTGGTGTCACACATGACATCCTAGTGCTACACATGACATTCTAGTGTTACACATGACATTCTAGTGTTACACATGATATTCTAGTGTTACACAGAACATTCTAGTGTCACATAATTATTATGTTCTAGTGTTACATATGACATGCTTGTGTCTTACATAGCATATTGGTGTCACACATGACATTCTAGTGTCTTACATAGCATTTTGGTGTCACACATGACATTCTAGTGTTACACATGACATTCTAGTGTCTTACATAGCATTTTTTGTGTTACACATGACATTCTAGTGTCACACACAACATTCTAGTGTTACACACAACATTCTAGTGTTACACATGGCATTCTAGTGTTACACATGGCATTCTAGTGTTACACAGAACATTCTAGTGTCATATATGTTCTAGTGTTACATATGAAATTCTAGTGTCTTACATAGCATATTGGTGTCACACATGACATTCTAGTGTTGCACATGACATTCTAGTGTCTTACATAGCATATTATTGTCACACATGACAATCTAGTGTCACACATGGTGTTTTGGTGTCACATATGACATTCTACTGTTACACATGACATTCTAGTGTTACACATGATGTTCTGGTGTCACACATGACATTCTAGTGTCACACATGACATTCTAGTGTTACACATGACATTCTAGTATCACACACGACAGTATAGTGTTACACATGATGTCCTGGTGTCACACATGACATTCTAGTTTTACATATGTCATTCTCGTGTTACACATGACATTCTAGTGTGACACATGATATTCTGGTGTCACACATGACATTCTAGTTTTACATATGACATTCTCGTGTCACACATAACATTCTAGTGTTACACATGACATTCGAGTGTCACACATGACATTAAAGTGTTACACATGATGTCCTGGTGTCACACATGACATTATAGTTTTACATATGACATTCTCGTGTCACACATGACATCCTAGTGCTAAATATGACATTCTAGTGTCACACATGACATTCTAGTGTTACACATGAAGTTCTGGTGTCACACATGAAATTCTAGTGTTACACATGACATTCTAGTGTTACACATGACATTATAGTGTCATACATGACATTCTAGTGTTACACATGACATTCTAGTGTCACACATGACATTCTAGTGTCACACATGACATTCTAGTGTCACACATTACATTATAGTGTTACACATGATGTTCTGGTGTCAAACATGACATTCTAGTGTTACACATGACATTCTAGTGTTACACATGTCATTCTAGTATTACCCATGACATTCTAGTGTCACGCTTGATGTTCTGGTGTCACACATGACAATCTAGTATTACACATGACATTCTTGTGTCACACATGACATTCTAGTGTTACACATGCCATTCTAGTGTCACACATGACATTCTAGTGTTACACATGCCATTCTAGTGTTACACATGACATTAAGTGTCACACATGCCATTCTAGTGTTACACATGCCATTCTAGTGTTACACATGCCATTCTAGTGTCACGCATGATGTTCTGGTGTCACACATGACATTCTAGTGTCACACATGACATTCTAGTGTTACACATGTCATTCTAGTGTTACCCATGACATTCTAGTGTCACACATGACATTCTAGTGTCACACATGACATTCTAGTGTTACACATGACATTATAGTGTTACACATGACATTCTAGTGTTAAACATGACATTCTCTCTAGTCACTCTGGTTCAGGAGTAGAATCTACCATAACTTACATTACCTGCAAACATTTGTCTAAACATATTTTTCGGTCTTTGTTACACTGAATGATTGATATTTTTCCATTCACAATTTCAAATTCTCTCACAATAGTCTTTATAAGTACACGGACATAAAGATATAATCCAATATGATTTGATTAAAATTAAGTATACAAATTTAAAAGAGGAAATCGAAAATTGAGACTTCAGTCACAAAACTGATTGGCTGTCATCACCGAGCTTTCCCAGTACTGGAGAGAAGTTGAAAGGCAGCTCCAACTGCCCAGCTCAGTTCAACATCATTTATCTTCTTCTTTAGCTGTGAACAAAATATTAACACAACTAGGTAATAATTATAAAGCTAGAACCAAGAGGTCATACCTGATACAGCTAGTACCGGACAGTCATATATGATACAGCTAGTACCGGACAGTCATACATGATACAGCTAGTACCGGACAGTCATATATGATACAGCTAGTACCAGGAGGTTATACATGAAACAGCTAGTACCAGGTTATACATAATACAGCTAGTACCAGGAGGTCATGCATAATACAGCTAGTACCAGGGGGTTATACATGCTACAGCTAGTACCAGGAGGTTATATATGATGCAGTTAGTACCAGGAGATCATACATGATACAGTTAGTACCAGGAAGTCATAAATAATACAGCTAGTACCGGACAGTCATACATGATACAGCTAGTACCAGGAGGTTATACAGGATACAGCTAGTACCAGGAGGTTATACATGATACAGCTAGTACCAGGGGGTTATACATGCTACAGCTAGTACCAGACAGTCATAAATGATACAGCTAGAACCAGACAGTCATATGTGATAAAGCTAGTACAAGGGGATCATGCTCTATGGAGCTAGTACCAGGAGTTTATACATGATACAGCTATTACCAGACAGTCATAAATGATCCAGCTAGTACCAGACATTCATACATGATACAGCCAGTACCAGGAGGTCATGCATAATACAGCTAGTACCGGACAGTCATATATGATAAAGCTAGTACAAGGGGACCATACTCTATGGAGCTAGTACCAGGAGGTCAGACATGATACAGTTAGTACCAGGGAGACATAAATAATACAGCTAGTCCCGGACAGTCATACATGAGACAGCTAGTACCAGGCGGTTATACATGCTACAGCTAGTACCAGACATTCATACATGATACAGATAGTACCAGGGGGTTATACATGCTACAGCTAGTACCAGGAGGTCATACATGATACAGCTAGTACCAGACAGTCATAAATGATACAGCTAGTACCAGACAGTCATATATGATAAAGCTAGTACAAGGGGATCATACTCTATGGAGCTAGTACCAGGAGGTTATACATGATACAGCTAATACAAGGGGATCATACATGATACAGCTAGTACCAGGAGGTCATACATGATACAGCTAGTACCAGGGGGTTATTCCTGATACAGCTAGTACCAGGGGGTTATACATGATACAGATAGTACCAGGGGGGTATACATGATACAGCTAGTACCAGGAGGTTATACCTGATACAGCTAGTACCAGTGGGTTATACATGATACAGCTAATACAAGGGGATCATACATGATGCAGCTAGTACCAGGAGGTCATACATGATACAGCTAGTACCAGGGGGTTATACATTATATAGCTAGTACAAGGAGGTAATACATGGTACAGCTAGTACCAGGAGGTCATACAAGATACAGCTAGTACCAGGAGGGTATACATGAAACAGCTAGTACCAGGAGGTTATAAATGAAACAGCTAGTACCAGGAGGTTATACATGGAACAGCTAGTACCAGGCGGTTATACATGATACAGATAGTACCAGGGGGTTATACATGATACAGCTAGTGCCAGGGGGTTATACATGAAACAGCTAGTACCAGGGGGTTATACATGATACAGCTAATACAAGGGGATCATACATGATGCAGCTAGTACCAGGAGGTCATACATGATACAGCTAGTACCAGACAGTCATACATGATACAGCTAGTACCAGAAAGTCATACATGATACAGCTAGTACCAGACAGTCATAAATGATCCAGCTAGTACCAGACAGTCATATATGATAAAGCTAGTACAAGGGGATCATGCTCTATGGAGCTAGTACCAGGAGGTTATACATGATACAGCTAGTACCAGGGGGTTATACCTGATACAGCTAGTACCAGGGGGTTATACATGATATAGCTAGTACAAGGAGGTAATACATGATACAGCTAGTACCAGGAGGTCATACAAGATACAGCTAGTACCAGGAGGTTATACATAATACAGCTAGTACCAGGAGGTCATACACCATACAGCTAGTACCAGGAGAGCATACATGATACATTTAGTACCAGGAGATCATACACGATACAGCTAGTACCAGGAGAGCATACATGATACAGCTAGTACCAGGAGAAATACATGATACAGCTAGTACCAGGGGGTTATACATGATACAGCTAGTACCTTGAGGTTATACATGATACAGCTAGTACCTGGAGGTTATACATGATACAGCTAGAGGAAATTGTATTTGCACGAGTGTATTCCTCATTTTAAGCCTAGCAGTTGTTTGAATTGATACAGGAACCACATCTTCGGCTCAGGTGACCGAAAAATGATAGAATATTTATTATTATATAAATTTCCATATGGATGACAATAGCAATACTAAGACAAGGTAGATCACTTATCTCTTTATCTCAGGAGATAACCTCTATTGTGTTATTGGTTTTGTCACCTACAAACAAAGTTGGAGACTTTTTTTGTGACGAAAACTATATGACCCTTATCAGCCAATATGCATATTTGCTTTGCACTTGTATGACCTTTGAATGTTCCAAAGTCCTAAGCCCAGGCTGATAAGATTAAACAGTTAGTTTGCACTTATTGGACTTTTGACCTGGAGGTGAAGGTCATTACCAGTATGAGGTTATTAAAATATGCTGTGCACCTTCTTTGGTTAATGCAAGTACATTTCAAGTTTCATCAAAGGAAAATTAACAGTTTAAAAGTTATATATGGTGTCAGGATTTCACTATAAATAAACATTTGACCTTTGACCAAATTACACTGCACTGCACATGTACACCTCCTGGGTTATGCTTCACATTTCATCATGTTAACCTGAAAGGATTCTTATTTGAACAAACATTTATTTTGTACAATGTACATGATCTAAATGCAATATACAAATTGCCAAAGCAAAGAAAAGCAAATAAATTGAGTGTTTTTACACTTATTTCTACTCACCACAATACTGTCTGAGGGATCCAGTTGATAGCCATCATGTAAAAGCGAGTAAATATAGGTAAGGTCCATGGCTAGGAATGGTTTCTCTGAACGCAGAGTTTTAAATGCTACAACACCATTAAAATTGTTAGAATGAAAGAAGATGTTGAAATACATTCTTAAGATACATGAACAAGAGTCCCAGAGGGCCTGTATCGCTCACCTGAATATGTTTAAAATAATTGGTATGAAGTAAAGATATAGCACTCCATGGTAGGTGCTGTAAGTACATATGAAATTTCAGAAAGATCCATCAAGTACTTGAGATATAGCAAGAACAAACTCCAAACAGAGCACCATCCCTATACCCTAAGGGAGTCATACCCACCAATTATACAAAATTAAGTCCCCTTGACCCAAGGATGCTCCAGACTAAATTAGGATACAATCCCTTAATCCCTATGGTAGAAGAACGATTTTAAAAGTTTTACCTCTAATTCCCCTTTCCCCTATTGGGCCCGCCTCTCTGCCTCTAGGGGTCAGACACACCGTTTATACAAAATTGGTTGCCCTTCACTCAAGGGTGCTTCATACCAAATTTTGACAAAATCCTGCCATTGAAAAATTTGCTATGTTTCCCCTATTGGGCCCCTCCGTTCTGCCACCAAGGGGGGGGGGGGGCACACTCGCTGTTTATACAAAATTAGGTCCCTTTTGCCCAAGGATGCTCCAGACTAAATTAGGATAATATCCCTTAATCCCTATGGTAGAAGTATTATATAGGTTTTACCTCTATTTCCCCTATAGGGCCCTACCCCTCAGGTCCCAGGGGGGCCACACCACCCGTTTATACAAATAGGTTCCCCTTTATCCAAGGATGCTCCACACCAAATATGTACCTAATCCTTTCATTCCTACAGAAGAAGAAGTAATTTAAAGAATATTTGCTATGTTTTCCCTATTGGGCCCTGCCCCTCATGCCCCTGGAGGGGGTCAAACCATTGGTTTATACAAAATTGGTTACCCTTTACCCAAGGATGCTCCACACCAAATATGTACCTTATCCTTTAATTCCTACAGAAGAAGGATTTTAAAGAATTTACTATACTTCCCCTATTGGGCCCCTCCCCCAGCTCCCAGGGAGACCAGACCCACCGCTTATACAAAATTGGTTCCCCTTTACCAAAGGATGCTTCAGACCAAATATGGAACAAATTTTATCATTCCTACAGAAGACGAAGTTTTTTTCAAGAATTTGTTACATTTCCTCTATTTTGCCCAGCCCCTCAGTCATCAAGGGGGCCACACCCACCATTTATACAAAATTGGTTCCCCTTCACCCAAGAATACTTCAGACCAAATCCTTTCATTCCTACAGAATAAGAAGGATTTTAAACAAGAGGCCCAGAGGGCCTGTATCGCTCACCTGAATGATGTGTTTAAATATATAGCACTCAATGGTAGGTGCTGTAAGTACATACGTATTTTCAGAAAGATCCATCCAGTACTTGAGATATAGCGAGAACAAACTTCAAACAGAGCCCCACCCCTATGCTCCTAGGGGGTCATACCCACTGTTCAAAGGTTATACCTTTATTTCTCCTATTTGGCCCCGCCCTTCTGCCCCATGGGAGACCACACCCACTGCTTATACAAAATTGAGTCCCCTTGGCCCAAGGATGCTCCAGACTAAATTAGGATAAAATCCCTTAATCCCTATGGTGGAAGAAGGATTTTAAAGGTTTAACCTCTAATTCCCCTAATAGGCCTAGCCTCTCTGCTTCCAGGGGGTTTAGACACACCGTTTATACAAAATTGGTTCCCCTTCACCCAAGGATGCTTCATACCAAATTTGGACAAAATCCTGTCATTCATACAGAAGAAGAAGGATTCAAAAGAATTTGCTATATTTCCCCTATTGGGCTCCGCCCCTCAGCCCCCAGGCACGGTTTATACAAAATTGGTTCCTCTTCTTACAAGGATGCTTCTGACCAAATATGTAACAATTCCTTCCATTCCTATAGAAAAAGGATTTTAAAGAATTTGCTATATTTCCCCTATTGGGCCCCACCCCTCAGCCCCAAGGGGGCCCACACCCACCATTTATACAAAATTGGTTCCCCTTTACCAAAGAATGCTTCAGACCAAATATGGACCAAATCCTTTCATTCCTTCAGAATGAGAAGGGTTTTAAAGAATTTGCTATGTTTCTCCTATTGGGCCCAGCCGCTCAGGGACCCTGGGGGGGCCAGACCACGGTTTATACAAAATTGGTTCCCCTTCACTCAAGGATGATTCAGACTTAATATGGAACAAATCCTTTCATACCTTCAGAAGAATAAGGATTCTAAAGAATTTGCTATATTTCCCCTATTGGGCTCCGCCCCTCAGCCCCCAGACTCACCATTTATACAAAATTTGTTCCACTTCCCCCAAGGATGCTTCTGACAAAATATGGAACGAATCCTTTCATTCCTACAGAAGAAGAAGGATTTTAAAGAATTTGCTATATTTCCTCTATTGGGCTCTGCCCCTCAGCCCCCAGGGGGGCCAGACCCACCATTTATATAAAATTTGTTCCATTTCCCCGAAGGATGCTTCTGACAAAATATGGAACAAATCCTTTCATTCCTACAGAAGAAGAAGGATTTTGAAGAATTTGCTATATTTCCCCTATTGGGCCCCACCCTTCAGCCCCCACCAACAAAATTTGTTCCCCTTCCCCCCAAAGATGCTTCTGACCAAATTTGGTCAAAATCTACTGGGCCATTCATGACAAGTAGCGTTTGAAAGGAAAAGTTGACAGACGGACGGACGGACGTTGCGCCATGGCATTAGGTGAAGCTAAAAATTTGCTATATTTCCCCTATTGGAATTGTGCCCTTCAAGCCCCTTGGGGTCAGACCCACGGTTTATACAAAATTGGTTTCCCTTCCCCCAAGGATACCTCTGACAAAATATGGACCAAATTCTAGAGTGAATATACTGAATGTGCCAGCTTTATAGTTATTAGGTCAGACTGAATGTGCCAGCTCTCTAATTATTAGGTCAGAGTGAATGTGTCAGCTCTATAGTTATTGGGTCAGAATGAATGTGCCAGCTCTATAGTTATTGGGTCAGACTGAATGTGCCAGCTCTATAGTTATTGGGTGAGACTGAATGTGCCAGCTCTATAGTTATTAGGTCAAAGTGNGGTTATTGGGTGAGACTGAATGTGCCAGCTCTATAGTTATTGGGTCAGACTGAATGTGCCAGTTCTATAGTTATTAGGTCAAAGTGAATGTGCAAGCTAAAGGTCATTGGGTGAGACTGAATGTGCCAGCTCTATAGTTATTAGGTCAGA